CACAGAACGGAGGGTGGGGCCCCCAGCGCCTGAGTGGGCGCAGCATACTTATAGGGACCCACAGTGGTGTGGGGGCCCTAGCACCAGAGTGGGTGCAGCGTACTCAGAGGGAACCCACAGCGGCGGGTGGACCCCGGCGCCAGTGAGGGCGCAGCTTACGGGGGCTTAGACCCCAGCCCCAGGAGGGGGCAGCCTTTTTTTAAGAAGCCCCGTGCAGGCGTAGCAAGCCCCAGAGCAGGGCAACAATTGAGAGGCCCCAGTGCAGGCGTGACGGCCCCAGGAAGGGGGCAATATTTTAGAAGCCCAAGTGTGGGTACGACGAGCCCCAGAGAGGGGGCACTATTGAGAAGACCCCGAGAGAGGGCAACAGCACTGGGAAGCCCAGTGCGGGCGTGACGAGCCCCAGGAAGGGGGCAATGCTTTAGAAGCCCAGGTGTGGGCGTGGAAAGCCCCAAAGAAGGGGGCGGCATTTTAGAAGCCCGAGTTGGGGCAGAGAGAGAGCCCCAGAAAGGGGGGGCATTATCGAGAAGCCCCAGTAAGGGCATAGCAGGCCCCAGAAGGAGGCACTATTGAAAAGGCCCAGACAGGGGGCAACAGCGCAGAGAAGGCCCCGAGAGAGGGCGACGACGCAGCGAAAGCCCGGAGTGGGCAAGGAGAGCCCCAGGAGGGGGCATCAGTGTACAGAGAAAGACAAACCAACGTCTATCCCATCTGCGAGGCTTGGGGTGTGGTATCAGGGGAGGTTGGAGCCACGCGTAGCCCATAAGGCTAGGGGGCCCCGGAGCACCCAGTTGTGCCGAAGCACCCATTTGTGCTGGACAAGATCCACGAGGGGTCTAGGAGTCTACGTGTCCAAGAGGGTATAAGGCAGCCTCCCAACTTAAGAGCAAAGACATGGCGGGCAAGAATAGAGGGTGCCCTTGGGCCGACTTGACACGGAGAGGGGGCCTCAAGGAGATCACGGCCCTCCTGCAGGGCCCTGCCGTGATACTGATCAAGTCCCCTCCTGTGGAGTGTGCACTTGAGGAGGGGAAGGGGGAAGGGAGGTAGAGGCTGGAATTTGCCTTCTGTCTCCTTATGCAGTTGATTGGCAGTCATTGTTGCCGATTTTAAAATGACTTAGTTTAGTAAAACTCTAAAATTCTCTTGCCCCCCAGGTCGGTGTCTGTCTGACAACTTCTATGTGAGAGGAGATGGAACCAGAGTTTACTTCTTCACACAAGGTAGGAGATCATACACCATGTTCCTGATCTCATTACCTTCCTTGTTTCCACACATCCTGAATTTCTGCAACCCCCTGAAACAGGCAGCTGTCAATACTGCTCCCTTGCTGAACAGGTCTGAAGCATTAAAAGTTTGTTAGTTGCATGGAAATCTGGGCCTGGTCCTCACTGATCTTTGTAAGACTTGACATTCCTCCTAATGGGAGGATCCTTCCCCATTTCCTTTACTCAGTAGAACCAGTATGATTGCTGCACTTGGAGGGGCTGAATTTGAGGAGCCCTGGAGAGGAGGAGCTGCATCCACAGTCGCATGCAGATGGGTTGGCAAGGGGGAGCCAGAGGAGCCATCCTTTTTAGAACCTTATCTTCTGCCTTTCCCAACATGAAGATACTAGACACTACTCCAATCACTAAGCTTCAGTGGCTCGAGCAGAACAACACTGCCTGCTGCCTTGAGATTGGTGGAGGTGTTTTTTTTTCTATCCTTCAACAAACACAGCCAAGTTACTAAAGTGACCACCTCCAATCCTGCAATGGTAGAAGTTATTCAAATATATAAAGATCACTTTAGATTCTACTTGAATGAGCCATAAAATTTAACACTGCAGGGCTTATTTGTTGCTGCTAAATAAACATAAAATGCTTATTATAAAAGGGAGAAAGCAATTGGCAGATGCTATGAGATTTGGGGGGGGGTTTTTTTTTTTCTATCCTTCAACAAACACAGCCAAGTTACTAAAGTGACCACCTCCAATCCTGCAATGGTAGAAGTTATTCAAATATATAAAGATCACTTTAGATTCTACTTGAATGAGCCATAAAATTTAACACTGCAGGGCTTATTTGTTGCTGCTAAATAAACATAAAATGCTTATTATAAAAGGGAGAAAGCAATTGGCAGATGCTATGACATGGCAGGCTTCTGATAAGAGCAGAAGGCCCTTTGCTGTAGAACACAAAATTGCACACTCCCAGAGCTCCCCAAGTCTCTGACTTTGCATGCAGTGAGTGTATTGGGGCACCCTGATCTAGAATGTATCCTCCTTGTTGTTTGGCTTGAAATACTTTTCCAGCCTTGAAAACACTTGATGCCCAGATTGACCTGTTCCACAAGTGCAGCTTTTCTGGGATTTTTTATAAATGAACCATCATGAATAGCATTCCTATCAAATATACAAGATCGTGGGCTTAAACCTCTGGCTTTGAAAGCGTAGGCCTGGTCCTCTGAATAGAAGGTGCTGAACATCTTCTACTCCCATGGACTTTGGGAACATTTGAAGGTACTTAGCATCTTAATCAAACCCCTTTAAAAACATGCTCTTGTTCAACTATCCCTAACCTTAAAAGTCCTATGTTCTCATCCATTTAAATATAGGGTATCAGACAGTATAGGAAGCATGAATTCATTCCTGATGTTGCTGAAGCCTTGTCTCGCATGGTGCTGTCTGTTTACTAAGGGGATAAAAACACTGTGTTTTCCCTGGCTTGTCTTTAACCATTAAAGATTCCTGCAGGCCCCCACTTAGAGCAGTTTAGGCCATAATGAAAATAAGTGTCAATTGAAAACATTTTGCTTTCTTAACCACCTTCTCCCACTCTTCATAGATGAATTGGATGTTCTCTTCACAACGGCCGGGTTGGAAAAAGTCCAGAATCTGGTTGATCGGCGCCTGCAAGTGAATCGTGGGAAGCAAGTGGCAATGTATCGAGTGTGGATCCAGTGCAAATACCGCAAGCCCCTTTCCCCAGGACATGAGCCAAATGGGCACATTCATTAAGGAAGATCACCTGTCATGTGCCCTGTATCTGGGTTTGCTGGTCTCCTGTGCAGCAACATGGCTTGGAAAGACTGTTGCAACTGACTGGATTTTAGTTCTTTGTACCATGTACAACATATCTAAAGTACACACATTGTATGGGCAAGATGGAAGTTTTGTGCTAGAGATGGATGCTCTAAAAGTAGGCAAAGGATAAGTGTTTTAAATGTCTAGCTGCTGGACTTTTTAAAAATTATTGGTGACACAATTTTACCCATATAGTGGTCATTGAGTGTCTTTTATAGAGCCTGTGCAGAACTAATCTCTGCCTTGAAACAAGGGAATATGGATCGTTTCTGCCAATTCAAAAGTTCACAAGACAGTGGGGGGCATGTCTACTGCCTATCTCCCAGGCTCTTGCCCCACATCACCATTTTGTCATTATGCTGCTCCATGTGTCAGAGACCAAAGTCACATAAACTGTAGATCAGCTACAACAAGAGGAGTTGTCTATTAAGTTTTAAGGTGTAAGTCTGCCTCGGGCATGCAGATACGTTCTAGCCCTGTGCTGTGGCTAATTTAGAGCCTATCTATACAAGGAAGTTATCATGCATGGTGTGAATTTACAGTGCACTAGCCACTCCACATTAACTGCCCACGTAGCTGCTTTTAGTCACCTTTGAAAGGGGAGTAAGTAAATTCATACTTGGTGTGCACTAGGAATGTCCACATAAGCAGTGAGTGCAGAGTAGCTGGAACACTGTAAATTCACATCTTTGAATGTAAACCAGCTCAGAGAGGTTCACCTTCCACCCTTTAAGACAATCAGTTGGTGAATTATATCTTTTATTTAACTTCATAATGGAAACTTTCCACAAAGTGTTAAAGCTAGCAAAAAATGTATGCCATCTTTTGGGAGCAAATGTTTGTACTCTCTCTCTAATCTGTTTTAATAAATGGTGTGGTACAGTATGTATTAGAATTGTAATAAAAGACTTAATTTGTGGGAAAGCTTCTCAACCAAGTTCAACAATACTATTTAAGCCTTCCACAGAAGCAAGTGGACTTCAGTGCAGTTTCTCTGCAGGGATCAGTTTGAGTATCTTTGAGTGCAGGACAGAGAGAGTGCAGTGTGAGAGACATGCTTCCCATCTGCTGTGAGACCATAGGACGGAACAGCCATTGCTTCTAGGGGCTGGTTTTCATACTAATACTTTGGGGAAGGTCAGGAGGCAGGAATTTAAAGCTAGTTTCTAAAACTGTCAGCAAAAGGGAGCTACACTTAAGAAAAAATGGTTTGAGTAGCTTTGGGAGGGGGATCTGGAGAGGAAGTCTGGAGCACATGTGAGTACCAGTTGTTTCTTCCCTTTTTCATCTCTGTTGGCCCCCACAACCTACTTTCTCTGCAGTGCCTACTCTGTGCCCTATGCATGTGGAGTTGGAAGGAGAAAAGGACAGGGGCTGCAGCCACATTGTGGTACACAGTGGGATCACAAGTACCTGTGTTCCATGACACATAAGGAGAGCCACACACATGATCAGAGGTCAAGAGAGCAGGCCATAGAAGGAGAGGCTGAGGCACGGGACTCTTCAGCTTGGCTAAGTGTAGGCTCAGGGGGGACTTGGTGGCAGCCAATAAGTATATCAGGGTGTTCATCAGGACCTGGGAGAACATCTGTTCACCAGGGCTCTCCCACAAGGTCCAACGGTCACAAACTGCTGGAAGACCATTTTAGACTGAACATTAGAAATTTCTTTCCCATCCGAGTTTCCAGAGTCTGGAATAGACTCCCCCCCAGAAGTGGTGCAAGCACCTACTTGACACATTCAAGATGCACTTGGACAATTATCTTGCTGGGGTCTTCTGCCCCCAGTTGACTTCCTGGCCCTTGGGCATGGGGCTGGACCAGATGATCTGACAAGGTTCCTTCTAGCCTTAATGTCTATGAAATCTATTAAATATGTGTAGTTTAACAGTAATATGGTCATAAGCTATTAGTACTGCCCAGGAGGAAGACAGCAGCTCGTGAAGGTGTGTTTTCATTTAGCTGTCAGTGATCTAACAAGAACCAGTGTCTGGAAATGGGATGACATCTGACCTTTTACCCTTTATAGCAACTGGTAGTGTTAATGCATGATGCAGCCCCCACATGATCTGCAATTCTGCTGAGTGAAAGGTTCCATGAATGAGCATGCCCTTGTAGTTGTAAAGGTGACCCTGAAGTCTCCCTATGTGCTGGTAAAGTAAGAGAGGGAGGCCATTTTATTTATTTTTAAGTTGAGGATTTTCATAGATGTATTTGTCATACCCAAATAAACAGCTTGGAAAATAGCCCTCATTAGATGTGCTACAACCCCCCTTTTCTTAGGAACTGAAAGAGCTTCCAAAACCACACTCATGGTAGAGAGAAGGCTAGGTTCAAAATTCCTGTTCTTTCAAAGACAAAGGGTGAGGGTAAGCAAGTGGAATTTCTTCCATTCAGAGAGATTTTAAAACGCAGAAAAGAGCACAACTTTCTCTCTCAGGGTTGTTTTCCAAAGGGAAGGATGATGCCACAGACTAGCTTTATTATAAAGCTGTAGCCTGCAGAGGATGTTCAATATTCCAGTCTTTTAAATATAAGTAATTCAGCTCCGGGTCTGGAAGTAGGTTCTTGGAGTTTTTTGTGTGTTTGGTTTTACAGAAGGCTGTCCTTTGCTAGTACAGAGGAACTAGTGGCTCAGTGAACAACATGGGGGCAGAAGTGGCTGCTTGGCACAGGTGCAAGAAAGAAGGCACTACAAACACCACAAATCAGATGCCCAAAATTTCAGGTTGTCCAACTACCAGCTCCCAGCAAAGCCTTTCCCAGATAATCCCACCACAGTGCTACTATTCTGTTGTCTCAGCCCCCAGGCAAACTCCCTCTATTAGCTTCCTCTGTGGTGTTGATTAGTGCAATGGTTCTCAAGCTCTTTAGACTCAAGGCATCCTTCAAAAAATGCCTGTTCTTAGTTTTCACTTGTCTTTTTGAGTTCATAAAAATAAGAGCAAATTTTCTGTTGCAGAGAACTCGGGAAGATCACGAGTTGGAATGTTTTTAACACTATGGATTCCTATTTGAAACCTGGGTTTATCTGTTAAACCATGTCTGTACAGCCACCGGTGATAACTTTGTGTAGCACCCTATGTAGATTACTGCCTGTTTTGTAATTAGTGATTGCCTGATAATATGTGCTTGCAGCTCTGTGTAGAGTACTTTGCTTCAGGTGCAGCTGGTCTAGCTAAATGAGGGGTAGAGCCAGACAGACTTATAAAAAGCAGTCCTTTGCAAACATAAAGTTTGCCTGAGGGGAGAGCCAGCGGAAGGGGGTGATTTATTTTTTTTTTGTTTCTTTGTTTTCTACAACCTAGGTGTCCTCCAGGGAGTATAGGAAGCATAAACTTAGACTGGATCAGCAATCATTACTTGCATGGGATGCACCATGTTTGTGTTCCTCCCAAAAAGTAGAGGCTACTCCATCTGTACTAAGTGTAAGTTAATGTTTATCTTGGAAGAAAAGATTGAAGAGTTGGACACAGGCATCCATGGTGTGTGCTGTCAAGAAAAATGAAGACTTCTTGGATAGGAGTCATGAGAAGCTGGCACAGAAGAGGCTAAAAAGCATGGAAGAGAAGTGGCAGGATGTCGCTACCAGAAAGAGTCCTCAGAATCCAAAAGATATGGATTGAAGTCAGTAACTGCTTTCAAGCATTCTGCAGTTGAACATCTGGGGAAAACCTAGAGGAGAAGACAGTGCCCAGCAAGGACCAAAGATGGGCCCCATGCTCCAGAAGCCAACAAGTCCAGGGCCCCATGTCTGAGAGCTCCAACAACACTCCACCAAAAAGGAAGAGAATGGTTGTGGCTGAGGACTCCCTCCTGCAGGGATTGTAAGCATCCATTTGTCATCCTGGGAGATGTTATTTGCAGAGCCTGCATTTAGGATGTCACAGAGAGATTTCTAGAGCTCATCCATCCTTCAGACCACTAGCCATCCTGTTCGCTCATGTAGACACCAGCAATATGGCCAGGAATGATACTGTGCAAATTAGACAAGACTAAAAGGCTCTGGGCAAGGAAATTAAGGAGTATGGAGCTGAGGTGGTGTTCTCAATTTCTCCTTGTGGAAGGTGAAGGCCTAGGCAGGAACAACTGTCGTGGAGGTAAACACGTGGCTAAGAGCATGGTGTTGACGTGAAGGCTTTTGAATTCTTTAACAATGGACAGATGTTCAGGGAAGAAGGATTACTATCAAGCAATGGGATCCATTGACCAGAATAGGAAAGAGCATCTTTGGGCATAGTCTAGCCAACCTAGTAAGGAGGACTTCAAACTAGGTTTCATGGAAGATGGTGAATAAAGTTCTCCAGCCACGGAGCAAACAATCCAGAGGGGAGAGAACTGGAGGAAACCTATCTCGTGAAAGAGCCAGAGAGACATAAGCAGCAAAAAGTGATGGAAGAGGGAAATGAGTAGGTCAAAATGCAAAATACTTCAGATGCATGCATATGTAAAGCATATGGGGAACAGACAGGATGAACTGGAAGTTGCAGCCTGTAAAGAAAACTGACTTGATTGGTATTACGGAGAGTTTGTGGAACAGCTCTTACTGCTGGGTCATCAACATTGAGCAGTACACTCAGTTTTGGAAGGACAGGGTTGGGAGAAAAAGTGGTGGGCATCATCTTTTATTTCTTTTATATAATATAAAGTGTATAAAAAGTGTTTCTTTTATATAAAAGATATATAAATAAAAGAAACACTTTTTATACACTTTATATATAAAAGACACATTTTTTCCAGGGTTCAGGAGGAAGGCGGCAGGTGATCAGTATATTTGGGTGAAGATGAAAGGAAGTGGGGATTCGTTACGGATCACCAAGTGAGGAAGCGGAGGAGGATAATTTTGCATGAAGCGCTCCTTGAAGAATGCCTCATGTAAAAATTATCCAGAAGTTATGACATGGCACTGTAAGGGGACTTCAGGTTTCTGGATATCTGCTGGAAGAATAATACTGCTAAACAAAATGTTGAGCAAGTTCCTAACTGGAGGACAATTTTCTGTTCCAGGAAGTTGAGGATGCAACTAGAGGATCATTCTTCTTGCATCGTTTCCTGACCAATAGGGAAGAACTGACTGAGGTTGTGAAGCTTATGGGACACACGGCACAAAGTGATCATAAGATGATAGAATTCATGATTCTGACACAGGGAAAACATGAGGTCAGCAGAACTGAAATACTGGATTTCAAAAGGGTGAACATCAAACAACTCAAGGAGATGGTAGGCAAGGTGCCATGGGAGGACAGACTGAAGAATGAAAGGGCCTAAGAACTGGCAGCTTCTAAAGGGCACAGTATTGGCCCAAAAAGAAGATATTCTGACAGGAAGAATGGCAAGGAACCAATGTGGCTACACAGTTTGCTTCTAGGATTTCTTCAAAAGCAGAGGGAAAGCATATGGGCAATGAGCAGGCCACCAAGGAAGCCTACCATAAAATAGCAAGAACTTGCAGGAACAGAATCAAGGAGGGAAAGGTAAACAAAGGTAAAGCAAAGTAAGATGAGAAGAAAAGATTCTATAAATACATTGGTTGGAAAAGAAAGACCAAGGAAGCTGCGAGTCCACTTAAATATCTGGGGTGAGCTCTTAGAAGATGAAAAGAAGGCAGATCTGCTGAACAGATACTTTTCCTTAGTCTTCCCCAAGAAATAAGCTGCAACCAGATACTTAACAAGGATTATTTGAATAGGGAAATGAAGAAGCTGAAGATCAAAATAACGCAATTTTGACTGATTTGAATTATGTCAAGCCAGCAGGGTCTGATGAGCTTCAGTTCAACATAATGGAGGAACTGTCAGAAAGGATCTCACAGCTCTTGGCAATAATATTTATCAAGTCATGGGAGATAGGCAAGATAACAGAGAACTAAAAGGGTCAACATGGTGCTCCTCTTCAAAAAAAAAAAAAAAAAAAAAAAAAAAGGTGGGGGG